GTTCTGGTTCTGGTTGCAGTGGACCGCGGTGACGGCGCCTGTGCAGAGGTGGACTCGGACACGGAGGCCGTGGCAGGAAGAGGCTTTAAGCTCGGCTGYATCTCCTGTAAGAGGAGGAGCGAGGTGAAAGGTTCTGCCACTGTGGAGTGGTACTTCAGACCCAAAGGAGAGTCCGACTTCTTCCACGTGAGTTCTGATCCCRGTCCGACCCAAATCCTCAGAACCGTAGCAGCTGCTGCTGTTGTTCTGGTGATCAGCTGATTGTGTGCAGACGTGCACTAACCTGTGTTCTGCTGCTCGGGTCAGATCTACTCGTTCGATGAACGGGGCGGAACCGTGGAACACGACCTCTTCATGGAACGGATCGACTGGAACGGGACCAAACGGAGCAACGACATCCAGGACGCCTCCATCTACCTGCTGAACGTCACCTTCAACGACTCGGGCACCTACCGCTGCTTCTTCAACCGCATCCTGGACTACGACAACGACTACGAGTACAACGACATCATCGACAAGGTGGTCCACCTGACCGTGGTGGCTAAAGGTCCGTGAGTCCAGTTCAGACCTGAAACTCTTTGTGTTTTATACAGAAACCTGCAGGAACAGGTGAACATCTGAGGAGTGAAGCTGATTCAGGCCTTCAATAATAAAGTCTGGATCAGGACATGATGGATGTTTGCTGACTCAGCAGTTTAACTAAACACTTCCCTGTTTGCTGAGTCATCTTCAGTGAGTCGATAGGAGACGATGCTCTGCTTCATTAAAGAGAGAGCACTCATCGTTTACAGGATTTTAATCTGAAAGGGTTTTTTTTTTTTTGTAAACAGTGTGGAGTTTATATAACTAGTCAGTGTCTTACCTGCAGCAAAACCAGAAGATGAGCGCCCTCTGGTGGCTGTTTCCAGTTTTTTGTGTTTCCATGTAAAACAAACAGCAGCCAAAAAGCTACAGTTTCACATCAAAATGGCGTTGTGTAAACAGGAAACAGCAGCTTAAAAAAGATCATTTTATTATTTTCAGTGGAACAAAGATACATGATGAAGTCTGTTTTTAACTCTGTTAAAGAAAAATACGTGAAATTATGTGGGACTGACACAAACCTGCCTTTTTCTATTGGCTTAATTTGAAGGTGGGCGGGATCATCTGCTGCAAATCGACCAATCCAAACCAGAATTACAGTTCTAAATAACTTGTAATACTTCCAGTTCAACACTTTCAGAATAAAAGCATTTATTTGATTGAGTTTGTATTTTCATAAATACTGTTTGAAGAAAACTTTCTCTACCATGTTTTATATGTAGTCAATATTTCCAGTTATTTAAACATTTAATTTCTTTTTGACGCTCTCAGTTTGAAGTTTAGCTGCTAGAGATGCTACATGCTAACACTCACGGAGCCTGACACATCCAGCACTGCTTTTGAGAGGGGAGAGTTTTTATTTAACTCAGGATCAATGGTATAAAAATAGAAGTTTTACATATTGTTTGTGTCTGTAACTGGCCTCCTGACTTCCTGTTTGTGTCTGTAACTGGCCTCCTGACTTCCTGTTTGTGTCTGTAACTGGCCTCCTGACTTCCTGTTTGTGTCTGTAACTGGCCCCCTGACTTCCTGTTTGTCTCTGACTGGCCCCCTGACTTCCTGTTTGTCTCTGACTGGCCTCCTGACTTCCTGTTTGTGTCTGTAACTGGCCTCCTAACTTCCTGTTTGTCTCTGACTGGCCCCCTGACTTCCTGTTTGTCTCTGACTGGCCTCCTGACTTCCTGTTTGTCTCTGACTGGCCCTGACTTCCTGTTTGTGTCTGTAACTGGCCTCCTGACTTCCTGTTTGTGTCTGTRACTGGCCTCCTGACTTCCTGTTTGTGTCTCTGACTGGCCTCCTGACTTCCTGTTTGTCTCTGACTGGCCCCCTGACTTCCTGTTTGTCTCTGACTGGCCCCCTGACTTCCTGTTTGTCTCTGACTGGCCCTGACTTCCTGTTTGCAGCCACCAGAGGCACGGCGTCCATCGTGTCGGAGGTCATGATGTACGTGTCCATCATCGGCCTGCAGCTCTGGCTCCTCATCGAGATGATCTACTGCTACAGGAAGATCGCAGCAGCCGGGGAGGAGGCGCTGCGGGAGGCAGCGTGAGTCTCTGTGTTCTGTCAGAACCAGGTCTCTGGTGTCGTCAGAACCTCAGCTCATCAGGTTCTGATTGGTTTCTCTGCAGGAACGCTGAATATTTAGCCATCGCCTCGGAGAGTAAAGATAACTGTGCAGGTGTGCAGGTGGGAGAGTAGCACAGGTGAGTCCTCACATGGCAGAACTGATCTTTCATCTGTTTGGTTCTGGTTCCGTTAAATCGACTGGTTTTCGCCCTCAGGCTTCTCCCACGGGGTGAACTCCTCCCTCAGCTCCGACCTGCATGACGAAGCCCAACGCCTCCTCTTCATCTCCAGCCTGTCCTCCTCCTCCTCCTCACACCAGCTGTCGTACAGAGCACATGGAGCCAGCACTGTATATAGAGCATGTCCTGCACCTCCATCACGCCCCGCCCCCCTCGTTATGCATTAATGAGCCAGCTGGAAACACGGCCACATGTAGTCACAGGGTTGAGCCGTCGGCTGYGTGTTGGACTCTGATTTTTACTGATTCATCAGCCAATGAATGAATGAGACAACCGTACTGTAAGTTAATGAAACTGTACTTCCTGTTAGCGTTCAGTGTTAATTAAAGACGTGGAGAAAACAAACGTCCAGACGTCCTGTTTGTTCCAAATTCAACTAAAAAACATTTTAAATGTCTGTTTCTACACTGGAACTGTGAAAACATCAACACATRCACAAATAAATATGTTTAGAGTTAAAAAACAAGCAGCAAACATTTCATCAACGTAACGTTTATTCTTGAACAGCTGCAGGAAGAAAAGAAATAAAACCTCAGACTGCTGGGTSTGCAGACACGAAGCAGCTCCGGTCCACTGGTCTACAGCTGCAGGACGCAGTCCGTCCCGGGGTACGGAGGCAGGTTCAGCTGGTACTTCCTGTCCAGTGCGGGCGGAACAAACCGTCCTCCCAGGAAGTGGTACCGGCCCGTAAACAAGGAGGCTGATTTCTTCGGAGCGGTCAGAGAGATGAGCGTGTCGGGCTGCAGACCCTCAGTGCTGCCCTGCTCCACGTCCCAGCCTTCAAAAATACATCCAATAAATACTTTTTACTAAAGAAATACATCCAATAAATACTTTTTACTAAACAAATACATCCAATAAATACTTTTTACTAAACAAATACATCCAATAAATACTTTTTACTAAACAAATACATCCAATAAATAC